GGGTTGAGGGCAGGCCAAGGGTGGGCCAGGCTGCTGCACCTACTGCCACAAGACAGAGCCTGAATGGGTGCAAGTCACCAGGGCTAGGCTATAGCACCAGCTGGCAAGTGCTTTTTATGATGTCACAACAATAGTGGTACATTTTTTTTTACATTTCAACAGTTATCACAACTGTAAGAATTTAGAAAATGATAAAGGCTTGCTTGATACAGATCAATATAATAAAATTAACTGCATGTCTATATATAAGCAATAAAGAGAAAGAGAGAGATAATACAAGATATGTACACAGAAAATTACAAAACAACATTGAGAGAAACTAAACAAAGATTAAAAAGGGATGTTCATGGATGGGAAGACTCAAACTTTTAACAGCTTCCCAGCTATACCACGATTAGCACAACACAGATTCAAGGTAGTCTCAACCAAAATCCTTGAGGTTTGAGTCTTTGCATACATTGAACTTGAGAAACCTAAGGGAACGAAAAACTAGGAGTAAGCAAGACACTCTGAAAGAAAAAAAAAAAGGAAGAAAAGGATAAAGAACAAAGAAAGAAAATTAATTCTAGAGACACCCACAGAGGTAAAAGGAAAAGTTATTTTTAAAACGACGGCAGTTATGAGGTAGGCAAAGACTTTCTTAGATAAGATTATTTTTTAAAAAGGACCAAGTATTAGACATTGCTAAGTTGATTGTGTTAAGAACTTGGGTTTATCAAGATGCAGTTTATCAAAAAAGAAAAGATGCAATTGACAAATATTATATGAAGAGTACATCCAAAAGCCGATGAACATGAAAAGCTACACTTCAACAATAAAGAAAGGCAAGTTGTAACCAGAACAATTTACTTCTATACCCCTCAGAAAAGGCTGAGAGTTTAAAAACTAACAAAATTAAGAATTGCAAAAACACAGAACATAAGACAAAAGAACTCCCACATAATGCTACTGTTACAAATTAGTTACTAATTTGAAAGGTTGTTTGTAATTTTTGGTTGTAATCATATACATGCATATCCTCCAATCTGGCAATTTTACCATAAGCACACACCTAACATAAATACACAGTTTGCACCAAACATATACAGAGAGCTACCCTTAATAGCATTATCAAAATAACCAAAAAAGTAGGAACAACTTGATTATCAACTAAATGGAGAGATATCTATGACATGTTCATTTCATAGACTCTATACAAAGATAAAAATTAATGAAGTACAGTTATCCTCAATACTATGGTTAGCATACACAAATACATAACAAGTTATTCCATTTCTACAAAATTCCAAAACCTGCAAAACTAACTTCAGGTGCTGAAAGTCACGTTAGTGATTCCACTTGGGCTAGGAGGACGCACTCACTGATGTGGTGGCAAGTTCCACATACACTTAGAATGTGTGTGTGTTCTTCCGTTTGTATACAATGCACCCCAAAAAGTTTCAAAACATTTTAGTGATGTGGAGATAAAGTCAAGATGATAAAAAGGTTATTAAGAACTCAATCATCAGGAAGTTGTGACATAAACTTCTTATGCTCTCCTTATAGACAATTGAAGAGTTCAATTACGCTGCTGCGTGGTTAGATATTTGATAGCCAGGACTGAAGCACAGCCTTGTACTGCTAAGTTTACTTTCTCTCTCTCTACCTTCGCCACACTCTTTGCCATGGAAATATCTGCACATACTTTGTCCCGTAATTCAGACAGAAACTAAAACCCTGAAGTGTTTTGTACTAACAAGACTGAATGATTTATCTGGTAAGGCACCATAACAAGAAAATTGCTAAATAAGTTTTACCTCCATCACAGACACAAAGCTGCATTAAACAACTTAATGGCCATTTTCATCATCAAGAAATGTTATGATTTTTTTGCATTTTTAGTAAGATAAAAATCATTTTGTGTCTGTATATAATCATTAGAGTTCTATAAAAACAGGAGACTCTAGGTTTTAGTATATTTGAAAACAACACTTAATGACAAAAGTAATTGGGTAGTTGTTGATATTATATTAATAAGCCAAAAATAGATAAACATTGTAGATCGCTAAATTCTTATTTTTTAATCTTTGCATGGGCAGTAACTATTCCTAAAAAGCAATACCTATAAGCATATTTTTAATTATGCAGAGTTAATAAGAATCATTACATATGTTCATCATGCTATTCTTTAAACTCTGAATCTTAAACAGTATAAAAGAAAAGTGAAGAGGAAATTTGTATAACTATTATATAACAGATGCCTTCCTGTACCTGTATAGAAATATATCAAAGTATTAAAAATGGTGATTCATACATAATAGTTTTTACTCTTTACATAAAGCTATAATGTTTCTATAAAAAATTTCCTTTTCATAAAAAAATGAAAACTTACTCTTTAAAGAGGAAATATCACTGAGAAAACATAAAACTTCACTGGTTCCTAGGAAAAGAATTGTACCTTTCTGATTCCAAACTCATAAAATCCTACTTCCACATTATTTTTATGATTAAGAACATGCAGAGCAGCAGTACCACCTAAATATGAATGACACCCGTTGGTATGTTTCTTGCTGAAACAGACATTTCAGAAAAAAATTATAATACTGAGCTAAAGTGGAAAGAACAACAGTGATGTCTCATTGCCAAGGGTGGAAGGATGGAGGACCCAGATTCAAGCTGTACTCATTATGCGTGTGAATCCAGGCATGTCACTTAGACTGTTTCCACTCATCAACCATAGAACTGAAATAAGGAAATCTGCTCCAGATTTCAATGAGGATTAATAGGGAAATTACCTATAATACTCGGTCCATCAACTGTGTGTCCATCGTGGGAAGATAAAGAAGAAAAAACTAGATGAAATAATAAATAGAACAATATCTGGCAATAGCAACGTATGCACTAAAATGATTCCGTTTTTCCCTGATATTCTGCTTCCTGTATAGAATGCCATTATTTTACGAGAATGACAGCTTCAAGACAGCTACTTCCCGGGCAACAGGTAGCAGATGTGTTACTGCAGAGCCAAGGGAAGTATGAGGGGTGATCCAAGGGCGGACTGACAAAGCCCAGAGCAGGGTGAGAGCCTCTCTGAGCTTGCTTGCCTATCAGCTGAGCTGCCGGAGTGAAGACTGGCTTGCCTGGTACTTCCTGGAGGCTACAGCCACTGGAGCATGTGGAATAGTTGTCAGTGCGCTGAGCTTCAGGATGACTCACTACGTGGCTTCCCCATTTCAACCCAAAACCAGAGTTTCCTTTGCCAATACCCTAAAATCCACACTCCCTTACCGGCCCTATCAGCGCCCCCTGGCGACCTTTCACTCTGCTACCTGGCTGTGTTTGGCTTTTCCACCCCTTTCCTAGTCACTCCTGTGCCATCCTGTACTTTCCAGGTCTGATCCATGCAGTTCCTCCAGCCTCAAATTCACAGTTTTCCCACTAGGACCTCACTCCTTGCAGGACATCTACTCTGTCCACATTCTTCAGGAATCCAGAACCTTCTTTAGTACACACCTCTCCTCAAACTTGCCAACAGTGTGAGGTCAGAGACCCTGTCTCTTCTGCTCCATTCCACAGCTACCTGTGTTAGCTTTATGCCGGACAATCAGAACATAAACTCCGAAGCAGAAATCATTTACCCGTTCCTAGTCGCTACTTCACCACCCAGGTGCCTAGAACAATGCCTGGCTAACGGTAGATACCCCACACACATCTGCTGAATAAAACTGCCCAGCTTCTTATCCGCACTGCATTAAGCTCCTAAGGGCTGGTTTTGTGTAGGTTCCTGAATCATGAAGAAAAAGTGCAGTACCTGACACATGGCAGCTACATATCAAGTATTTATCAAATAGATAAATGTCATTTGATGATGATTAGCCATTCATACAATAAGCAAGTGCTTATTTCAGGGATCCAATGAGAAAGGACGGGTGTCAAATATTGCAGCCATTCTACCTTTTAGTCCATTCAGCCTTCCAAATTTTTTGCTGCTTTGATATTCAAATGATTCACTTAGCAACTCATACTATCAATGATAAAAATCATGAATTTTTTTTACCACCTGCTTTCATGATTTTATTGTTATTGCTACCACTTGTTCTGTGTTTAGAATAAGCCCACTGAGGTCCATCCAGGATCAGACAACAGGCATGGATACAGCCAACATTCACCTTCACGTCTTTTGTCGGGAATATAAATTAGACACCCAACTTAAGTTAGAGTACCTCGGCACCACCTCTGATAACCTTTGTAAAGATGAGTAATGCCACCAAACAAGAGGATTATGGGAAAATAAAACATGCACAATCCCACAATGACTTGAATAAAGGCTAACCTTGGAAAAATATCCAAGACTTCCATTTTCATAAAAACACAAACACAGCTGAACTGGGGAAGAAGGTGGGGCTGGGACACAAGAAACTTTTATCAGCCACAGGTTTCTTCGTTGATTTTATACAATTCCAACACAAACAACACGCTACTAAGACCCAAGGTTTGTTTCTTTTGTAGAATTTTGGTTTTGAGTGTTTTTCTTTTTTGGTAGATAATCTATCATTACAGTTAATATTAACGCTTATTTCTCATGACTGCTTACATCGAGACTCTTCCATTGTTAACTCTTTCTCGTCACCAAGACCATTGAGGTCACTTAATTCTGCTTCATCGCATGAGCTGGTCACGATGCAGGCACTGCACGCCTTCTCATCAGAGCTGAGTTAGCCAACTGGAGTTTTCTAAGGAGGAGCAAGCCTGTGGTCCTCCTCCCACTGCTGAGGCCTTGATGTGATTAATGACAATGACAGTCAAGGACAGACACCAGCAACACAGCAAAGGACACTGACGCCTGCACGGCCAGCTGTGCTGTCGCAGATGAGTTTCAGCGATTTACTTTTAAACCACAAAGTTCAGAAAGCATTTGCGATACCTTAAGGTACATTAAATATACTCTACCATGACAGAAAGAGGCTTCCGTGGGGTAACCAGGAGCTAAGGACCGGGCTCCCAGGACCCTCTCCTCTTACCTGTGTACTGCAACCCCCGGTACTCGCTTATTGCCCCTGGAGGTTTTAAATTGGGCCAGTAGTGGAAGAGCATCTGTACAGCTGGAGGCTTCACCTGGGAGGGCCCATAGGCAATCACATAGAGAAGGTCCTAGGGAAACAGGAGGCACCTGTTGACTTCGCATCAGCCAATCAAAAATACAGGTAGCTCATTTAGTATCACAGTGCAGAGGCCAGAGGGGGTTATGTCCCTGGAATCTCCTCAGACCGGGGCGATTCGCAGGGCACATGAAAACACTGTCCCTCTGTAAATACGCCCTCAGAGTTCAAAAGTATACTCTCTTTAAACAAACTCCTCTCTAATCAGATTAATGTCAAAGAAAGAGTTTAGGATAGCATACGTCAGTTTCCCAAACAGTACATTAAAATACAAAAATATTTTTAAAAATTTAAAAGTCTTTTTCTGATCACATTTCTTAATTCAAATCTCTGAAAAAAGATTCTTAGGCAATCTTTCTAATTAAGTAAGATTATTTGTCAGGCAATATAACATTTGCTTAATTTCAAGTATGAGATACACTTAATTAACTGTCTGCACACTGGTCTTAAAATATCATTTCTGCTCTAAATGATAAACAATTAACCAGCATATAGGATAATAAATTTGTCCCATATAACAATTATAATATGCAAACAATTTTCACTATATTATAAATTCATTTTGTGATTATGGAAGATTTCCCCCAAAAACTTACTTTCCAGACTTCTTGCTTATATTTCATGAGGCATTCCAATAATTGACAATGATACACTGTAAGAAAGAAAATATAATTTTATATGATATATAACAGATAAAACATTCTTTGAGATATAATAAACTACGGTTCTCTACACTGATCATTAAAAATTACATCTCTATATATTCATATTTTACAAAAATCACGTCCTTTACTATAGTCAAAAGTCCTTAATAAATATTGCCTGTGTCATATGAACAAAGGAAATATTCAGAAAAGCTCCTAGTAGTCATACTTCCTTAACATAAACTTTAATCTACATAATCAAGAGCTACACAGCAGAAAATTTGCTTAGCAGGATTTAGCTCATATTTGTTGAATATTATCGTGTGTCAGATATCATGCTAAGAACTGTATACAAATTATCTCACAACTTAGAAAAGTGTCGTTTAGTTTCCTATCTTGGCAAAGATTGGACAGATACCACGTGACAGACGGATTCAAATTGGAGTGTTATTTGATCATTAATTCCACCTTGTAGAGGACTCCTAAAAGCCAGGTGACAGCAAGCTTCCTCAATTTGCCTATCTTCACTAGAAGAAAGTTACTTTTGCCCTACCCAATGTTCCCCCTAATCTCTCTTCAACCCCATCACGTAGCCAGACCAGGCTCAGTGCAGGCCCCCAACCTCCACGTCATCTGGGTCAGTCTGCTTCCTGCGTGACGTTTCTGCAGCAATGAGGACTGCTGGCTCTGTCCTTTATCGAACACACTCTCTACCTTGGCTTCGCGACATGGTAAGACTTTTGTAACCTGTGCTGGACTCTGATGTTGGAACTCAGCTGCCGTCACCAATCTTTTTTTCCCTTGCCCATATCTAATACACAGACTTTCCCAGACCCCCTCGCAGTTATGGATGCCGGGTAAATCCATCCTCAACTGTAGGACCTGAGTGAGAATCTGCTGGGAAGCTTCTCAGACACACTTTTCTCTCTGATGAAAAAACAGCCTTCTGAGATCTTTTTCTAACGACTCTGACTGATCACAATTTTGGATGTGGCTGTTTGAGGTTACAGTAATCCCTACTAAAGAAGCCACCTTGCAAATATGAGGATACATCCAACAGAAACATAAAGATGCCAACTCAGCCCACTGATGACCTTCCCTGGGGAGCCTGCTCTTATTCCAGGATTGTCTTTATGGCTGAAGAGAACCACCGTGCAAATAGTTTAACCCAGAAAAGCCCATGTCTCACCAAGTCCTATCAAGTTTAGGTCCTACGTAACTTTCAGATCCACTTTCCTCAATTCATTGTCCCTGCCTCTGACAGACCCAGGCAAGTGCAGTGGATCTCCTTGTTAGTGCATTTATATCCAGTCGGCCTCCTGAAATTAAAAGTGTATTTTTAACTGCAACTAGAGTGCTATAACACATGCTCACTCAAAACCCTTCAATGGCTTTTCATGAGATCTGTGATAAAGACAGGACTCCCTGACAGGGCATACAGCATTCTGTATCTTCTCACAGAACTCCTACCCCAGCAAGCATCCCTCCCAGGCCACACCTTTCACCCATCAGCCCCATCTGAGACCAGGAGGCTCCCCTGCCTGAGCCCCTGCTTCAACTCCCAGCTTGCTTGTGGGTTTTGTCCATCTCACGCACCTTTTCTTTCTCAGATAAAATATTATTTCCTCAGAGACACTCTCTCTAATCTCCCCAATAAAAACAAAATCCCCTTTCATAGATATTTGTAGCACTATGCACATAAAACACCAGTTACAATTGAAATTTCATGTGTGTCTGATTCTATGATCACTGTATGGATGCCATCTCCTCTCCTTCTGTAACTTCACGATAAGATTCATGAGACAAAGGGAGAATTCAGCTCCGCGCCACTAACCATAGTATGCCATATTCAGTCACTGGAATTTCAAACATTCTCCTTCAGCTGTCACCAACTCTGGTGCGGTGCTGCCTCAGCACTTCCTCCCACCATGCCTGCCACCCTCTACAGGTCTGCTCCGTGAGCCTTCTGCACAGTATTCCACGGCCTGCTCCATGGACAGACCTGAAAGCTCCTTGGAGCCCCTGCTCCTCTCCCCACCCTCGCCCATCCACTTTGCAGATCCAGTTTGCTCCAGTGGTATGAAGCCTCTCGGGGTCCTTGTGTCCCACAGAATTCTCTGCTTCTGGCGAATTAACACTGACTTCGAGGTTTATCTGGTATTTTCACAGATGACTTTCACACTGTTCATTCCTGATTTCTGGGAACAGACATGCACAAAAGACAGACATGCTCCCTGCCACACACAGCAGCTGACATTTCCGTGCAGTTTCACCATCCCCATCTCCACAGATGGTCTCTGTCCCTCAGGCCCAGTCAGCTGGGACAGCGTTCTTGACATGAGGACAGGCACAGGAGCGGCCATCTCCAGAACCAGCAGCCAGGCCCTCGCCGGATCGCTGCATCCACCGGCGGCTTGGGCCTGGGCTGCCCTGTCTCAGGGCCGTGAGAAACCAATGTTTGCTGCTCCCACCTATGGTACTTTTGTTATGGCATCGTCAACAAGGAAATTTAGAACTAAGAACTAGAGCACTGCCATAACAAATGTGGAGGTGTTTGAAACTGGGAGACAGGAAGGGCTGGAAGAGTTCTGGGATTCAGGCTAGAAAACGCCTACAGCGCTGTGAGAGACCCTCTAATGCTGGTGTAGGCTTAGACAAAAATGAGGACACGATGCTAGAAACTTGGGGAAAGGCCATCTTCATTACAAAGTAGCATGGAATTCATGTCCTAGTATCATCCTGCGGAATGCAGAGCTTGTAAGGGATGAAATGGGGTTTTGAGTTGAGGAAATTTGCCAGCAAAGTATGGAAGGGAATAAGAGGGAAACAATTTAAGAAACAGAATTGGGAAAAATTTTAAATTGTTCATTGATAATGAAGCAAAACTTAAATATTTGGAAATTCCTCAGCCTATTTATATTGCAAGCATGAGAAAGCCTGTAGCCAAGTTACTGGAATGAAGAGACTAACCAGCCATCTCAACAGCGGCCAGGCACCACCACCCATGACAGAACAAACTACTCCCATCACAGGCTGAGAGCTCGGGTTCAAGAGCCTCGGGGCAGCTTGCTTCCAAGAAGGGGTCACCCGCACTTGTGACACCTCAGGTCACACCACCCAGCACCACCTCACAGTGCGCTGTGACACCATGTCCTCAGCAGACTCCAGGCAGTGGGGGTGGTGTTACCTTGACCCCAGTGCAGCAGGTGCTCCACCCATAAAAACTGTGGGGGTGTAGTTGCTTAGGTCCTAATTTCAAAGGATGTCCAGGAGAGAAAGGAGCACAGAGTCACAGCCTTGGGACAGAACCGGGGCAAAAAAGCTCACGTGGGGGTGGGGCCAACCAGAGCCTAGGCCTTCTAATCTCCAACAGGGAAAGCTACAGGGGCAACTCTATCTACCTCAAGTCCAGGACCACTTGCAAGCCTTACATTTTAATGTTGCTAGGATTTGGCGTATCTGGACCCCATTACCTCTTCTTCCTTATGTCTCCCATTTGGATGGGAACATTCTGTCTTCTCTCTGCCACCCAAACCTCTAAAATCTCTCTCTCTCCTCTCTCCCCCCCCTCCCTCTTCTTTCTCTTCTCTCTCTTTTCTCTCTCTCTCTCCAGCACTGTATTTTAAAAGCAGGTAACTTGTTTGATTTCACAGGTTCACAGCTGGAGAGGAAATTGCCTTAAGACGAATCACACCTTGACTCTCACCCATGTCTGCTTTGATGAGACTTACATTAGATGTCGGACTTTGAACTTCTCAGTTGATGCTGGCATGCATTAGCCCTGGAGACCACTGGGATGAAATGAACATAATTTTGCATGCAAGAAGGATATGAATTTTGGTGGACCACACATGGCACGCCATAGATTGAATGTTTGTGCTTCCCAAAATTTACAGATTGAGTCCTAATCCCTGATGGGAAGGTATGTGGTACTGCAGCCTTTTATGAGATAATTAGCTCAGGAGGGTAAGGTCCTTATGAAAGGGTTCAGTGCCCTTACAACAGAGGGATCAGAGAACTCACTTACTCTTCCAGCAAGTGAGAATAAAATGTAATATGGCCATCTGTAAACTGGAAGGCAGCTCCTCACCAGCTCACCAAAGCTGCAGGCTCCTTGACCCAGGGCCTCTCAGCTTCATGACCTATGAGAGGTAACTTGTTTCTGAGTGCCCAGTTGAGAAAATTTTTGCTGCAGCAGCCCAAACAGAACAAGGCCAAGAATGATACTGTGAGCTCAGAAGTGCTAGAATTTTAAAATGGAAATGTGTTCCTCATCTAGAGGCAAAAGCTCAATTGCCTTTCTACATAAAAACAGCTCCATAAGCTCTGCAGATCTGGCAGCACAGCCCCATTCTCCTGCAGTACTGGTATCCCACCTGAGTGCCAGTTTGAGTCCTGGCTACTCCACTTCCAATCCAACTCCCTGCTAATGTGCCTGGAAAAGCACCAAAGCATGGCTCAAGGCCTGGGGCCCTTGCACCTGAAGTGGCAGACAAGAAGGAAGTTCCTGGCCGTAGATCAGCTCCAATCTGCCCATTGCAGCCATTTGGAGAGTGAATCAGCAAATGGAAGATTCTCTCCCTCTCCCTCTCAGTAACTCTGACTTTCAAAGTAAAATCCTTTTTAAAAAGTGCTATACCATTTATTCACTTTGCAAATAAAGATAAAATGAAAATGAAAATTAGATTCATATCTTAGCAAATGACTCCAATAAGCATCCCCATTTTATTCCCGTTTCCCAAGGTTTGTCTGGAATTATAATGATAAAAAGAAATCAAGTAGAAATCTACCTGATAATCAAACATATAAAAAATGGCACAAAATTTTTCATCTGTCAAACTCCATACACATTTTACAATCACATCCAACGGGAGATCACAATGAGACAAGTGCTTTCACACACAACTAGCGAGAATAACAAAATATTTTCAAGTCCTTCAACCCATTCATCTTTCTTTTATCATTCAGAAAAAACAACATTCAAAAGTATAGCAAAACATTTATGCTCAGGAATTTTTATAAGGTATTAACGTAAAAAAAAATCACCAAAATACTAACAGTGGGTATCTTTAGCTGTTAGAATTACAGGTGATTTCTATATTTCTAATTGAACTACTTCTATAAACATATATTCAATCAACTCTTAGTTGATGTTCTAAAACCGAGTCTCAGACATTCTAAAAAATATCACTGGCCAACAAAACTCACTGCTAATAGCAAATAGGCAGAGCAAATTTAGTTTTAATCAAATGTTTGTTTTCAAAACTGGTCTGTTTCTTTCACCAAAAACAATTCTTACATGAAAGCTGGTGACCCTTGATGCCCTGCTGAACGACTCGTTTTGGGATTAGTGCAGCCCCTCTGGCCCCGCTCACCTGGGTTGGACGTGTACTGCATTGCAATCATGAGCATGGAGGATGCGGACAGGTTGACGTGGGCGGGGACTCCTTCTCTCCTTGAGGAACCCACTGAAACCAACAGTGTTTGCATTAGACCCCATTACATTGCTGCACAGTTACTTACTACATTACATAGATCATGAAAGCTACAAGGGACGTGTGTGTGTGCGTGTGTGTGTATGTGTGTGTGTGTGTCTCAAGGCAGTAGATATTTCATGCAAATAAAATCACAAATCTGTCCTGGCATACAAAGGTCTACCAGCAAAAGGAACAACACCAAAAGGTGATGTCACGGCTTTATCAGAGTTCACTTAGGTATGGTGACGACTCCCAAGACGTCAAAAAAGAGGGGAAAAACGCCCTCAAGCTCAAGCATAAACTCAAATTGAAGGTTGTCCCAACAAGAAATTAAAAAGAAACAGTTTTCAAAGCCAACTTGAATGTATTAATGTTTAGAGATGCAGATGAAATAGTTTGCTTATAATATGTAACATTAATTTAGCTACACTTGCAAATTTAAAGTAGTATATTATAAAATATAACATCAATTTAAATACTGTATTCAACTGCCGTATGTCATTAAACAGTTTAACGCAAATTCCTCTGTAACTGTATTTGGTGTCTTCATGTAGAACCACTTTTCCCCAGAGCTTACCATCTTCACATCCGTCTGAGTTGTTCAAAAGAAAGCATTTTCAAACCTGTGAATAATGCTGTGTGGACATTTTACCCTAAGCCAGCGAGTCATCAATCACAAGGCAAGTTGGTTTCTTCAAATTCCAACATATAGCTACATAATCCTAACATTCACTTACATGCTGCTTTGAAAACATCTCTAAGTGGCTTGCTTATAATGACATCAAATGTTGCATTAAATATTTAAAATGCCTTGCTGGAAGTCAATTGGGATAATGGGCTGCCTCTAAAGGGTACCTACCCTATATTTCAGACACAAGGATAGGGAACATGCAATGGGAGAAACTCAATAGGACCCAAATGGAAATAGAAGCCCTTTTTTATAGGAGATAATTGCAGCAGCAGCAGGGGAAAACTCTCCATGTGTGGGCGTGGGTGACAAGCTGGCCAGTAGACACAGAACAGTGCCCTGGGTGTGTAAAACAGAGTCAACTCTCTATCGCCTACACAGTAGAGGAAATCATTGCCATGGGCAGCAATCAAAAAACAGATCATTTCAAACTTTATTTTGTACTGAAGTACAATATGTGGGGATTACAGCTCACCTATAACCAAAAGAAAACCACATACAGTACATGATAGAACCACTAAAATATCAATAAAATTTTTGTCACATACAAAGTAGAAGAGACAAAGAAAACTTAACATGATTTATATATATATATATTTTTTTTACATAAAGGACTTTGAGTATAAGCAGCAGCCTTTTACAACAGCTTAACTGAGATGAACAAAGAACAAGACAGATACATTAGGAATTTCCATTTACCTGAGTTTGCTTTTGTCAACAGCTACATCTGGGCTGTTGCTAACCAACCAAGCAGGGGGTATTCAGGAAAACAAGTTAATTTGGTTATAATAATAGACAGAGGTATAAATAATTACATTAACAATGTGGCGATCAATTCACTGCTCTCTGCTGCTAATGTTGATTAATCAAATATGATTAAGTAAATAAATAAACAACTCGAAGCCAAACTCTCCAGAACAAGATGAAGTTACTCTTAAACTCCAGCCAGGGTGTTTGCTCAAATTCTACTTCTTGGGTATACACATCTAGAGATTCCAGCTCCATAAGGCTGGAAATCAGGAAATTACATGTTTCATTAACAAGCACACCAGGTGATTCTGATGCACACTGGAGCTAGACCTCTATTTGAGATGTATCATTAGCGGGATGAGAAATAAGAAAGGAAGCGCCCAGTCAGGGGTCCAGGGACAAAAGGGACAACTGCCAAGTCCCTTGTGCCCTTTGTTTAAAAAAATAAATAAAAAAGAAAGTCTAGTCTTGCATGCAGTGAAGAAAAGAATATAGCTATATATGTATGTATTCATACAGTATGCTTTCTTTGTAGAACAAATATTTCACCTTTGTTTAAATCATCTTAGATTTTTTAAATAATAAGCATTTTTTAAAAAACAGAAAAAGCTACCATTCGAAAAGGCTGAGGGCCATTATGCCTGGAGGCCTTTAAAAATGGGAGAGTTGCCCAACTGTCTCGGATGATTTAAGTGACGTCTGCTTGGAGAAATGCCCACATGGCTCAGCAGGTTTTGGATCTCCCCACTCCCTCTCCAGAGCCGCGCTCTGCCTCACGTACAGCCAGCCATAAAGCCAAAAGCATTCCCCTGGCTCAAAAAGCCCTAGGAAGTTGGCTCCAACACTCACAAAAACAGACGGTGCCTTGCAGTTTCTGAGCCTTCTAAGAGACTGACTAAAATCACCACAATTCTAATTTAATAAACATGCACAGGCATACATCATTTCTCAAACCTTATTTAAAAGGCATGATGTAAACAGATGTGCAGCTTGTCCTCATGAGGATATTAAAAGGCAGCATAGCATACAATAGGAGAGAGAAAATAAGCACAAAACAAAATTTTACAAAATGTGCTGTGCTTGGGAAATAAAACAAAAAGTCTTCAGATCTACTCCCCACCTTCCCAGAACAAGCACTGTCATCATCTGCTCCTTCCATAGGCGGAATCGATGCCCCACTGTGTTCCTGCAGCTTGGCGTCCTCATGCACCACCCTGATCGCAAGCAATAACGTAAGTAAGTGGGAAGAGCCACCTGATGAAAGAGAGACCACATGATCTCTATGAGAGCATCAGCATCTTTGGTGGGTGGACACTTCAGTATACGCAACTTTATAGTTCATGCTCGAGGTACTTATTCATTCAGCCAGTATTCGTTTATTGACTCCTACACTTAGCCCTTGTTCTTGGCCATAGGGATACAGTGTAAAGGCAGTCTTGGTCCTCATGCCCCTTAGATACTAAGCTAACCATAGATGACTATTCGAATTTAATTGAAAATTCAGCTCCTCACTCTCAGTAGACAGGTTTCAGATCACATACTCAATAACATAGATGACTAGTGGCTACTAGGCAGCACAGAACATCCTTACAGGAGGTCCTGAGGGGGAGTGGTACACCAGAGGAAATATAAAATAAGGCAGGAGAATGACAGAAAGTGAGGCAAGGTCGCTGATTTAGCTAGAAGGTCAAGGAGCACCCCATAAAATTGCAGTCCTTTAATCCAGCATTTAAAGGAAGCAAGGAAGCCAACCAGGTGACCATTTGGAAAAGGACCTCTAAGACAGAGGGGAAAGCACAGAACAAGGAGAAAAACTCATTTTTTGATGAAAGTGCAGAGTGACACAAGGAGAGTTAGTGATAAAAGGAGCGAGACAGGCAGGGGTCAGATCCCAAAGAGTTGTGTGGAGCAAGCAGGGACACTGAATTGGATTTACAGGGAGAACAGCTAGATGGTTTTGATGAGGAAGGTGACATGATCTGATAGACTTGTCTGGCAGAGTACTGACTGTTTGGTGGAGAACAGGCAGCAGGAGGACTGTAAAGGGAAGCACTACAGACCAGGCCAGAGATGAGAAAGCACAGGGCAGCCACCTGCATTTGCATACGCTGAGATGAAGCCCACCAGCTCCCACGTCTCCAACACATAAAAGCGAAGGAGTCTGCTGGGGAGAAGAAACACAAGCTGCTGCCGGCTGTGCACTACGACAGAAGCACTTCTAGTGCTTTGCCAGCCTGCACCACGAGACGGCACCCCCTGGACCCACAAGCCTCTCCTCTCTTCAGGCTTCAGTTTGTACGATCAGAGGTCAGTGTGTTCCCTGAGACAAGGTTTCTGCATAAGACAGCCATCCCCTCCCCAGAGCCTATCAGTTAAACATCACTGGTGTTTAACTGAGAAGTATAAGCCAACACGATCCCGAAGTGGTTGTGTCATTCAAACATTTGCAGATCAGTAGGTTAACGAAAAGTCAGAGACGGGATGCCTACCAACCCTTCAGAAGTGTGCTGTGAGGTTCTAGGAGCTCAAAACCAGCCATAACAATTACATTTACTTACACAGCAACCTCTAGGGGAAAAGAGTCCCAAGCCCCAGACGATAACTTCTTACCTCGAGCAATATTTAAGATGCTAAAGTTTTAAGACAACATGAAGATTTCAGCAGAATACTAGAAGTCTTTGCAACGGGATCTGTTATACCTATGATTCAACCACACATTGGTTCTAGTGCACTCTTGTGGAATGACACACAAAGGTCATTCCCAATATTATCTAATTTTTCCAATTTTCCCAGCAGGGAAATTGGGATTATTCACCACTTGACAACTAAGGAAACTCAAGTGTGATAAGGGTAAGAGATTGGCCAAGAATCAAAAGACTGCAATTCATTTCTTCTAGATCCCTATGCTAAAACAATCCCCATGCTTTTTCAACAATAAAGCTCTTAAGAAGAACATGACCTGCCTTATTTTTAAAAAAATTGCCAGTAAAAAAGAGTGTGCGTATATTAAACATTAGCAGCTAAATATCATCAATATCTTGTATTCTTGCTGCCTTTTTCTACATATTATTATTCAGTTGAAAAATCGTAAGAATATAACACACAATACTTTTGGTGGAAGTAACTGAACAAAAAACAACTCCATGCTTAAAATCTGAAACCAGATAATCAGTTAAAATAATCCAGTTATTGTTAAATCAATGCAAAGTTCTAAACGAGTGTTTACTTCTCCTGTGGGTAAATTTTTGAAAAAATTTAACTTGTTAAATAAAAATGATGAGAATCCACAGTCCAAGACACAAGGATATGCTAGAAGAACCTTGTATGGTATTGCTCATCTTTGTTAATTTTCATTTATTTGAGAATCAGAGAGATAGGGAGAGAGAGTTCCTACCCGCTGGTTCACTCTCGCAAATGCCCACAGGAGCTGGAGCTTGGCTGGAGCCAGCGCTGGCAGCCACACATCTCATCTGGATCTCCCAGGTTGGTGACAGGAATGGCTAAGTTAAGCCACCACCTGCCTCCCAGGAAGCTGGACTCAGGAGCCAGGGATCAAACCCAGTTTAAGTTGGGAGATGGGCATTTGAATGGATGCCTTCATCTCTAGGCTAGATGGCTATCCCATTTGGGTTTAGTTTTATCTTTAAAATAGACTCTATACCAACCAGGGTTCTCCTAGAATTGTCTTTTCTCTCTTTTCTGCCAGAGTCGCATCTTCACCACAGCCATGTTTCAGCTCAATCCTTAAGTTACAGATCCTTTTACTGGAAACAAGGTTTCCATGGTGACATGCAAATAACTCTGCCAATCTTTACTAACTCCCATAATATATTTTTCATAAACAAAGCATACTGCACACACTTAGAAGGAAAAGCAGTGTGTTTTATTTATGGAGGAGTTAAAAAGAAAAGGTTACGTGAGAAGAAAATTTTATATTAACTAGGTTGAGGTTTGCTCCGAAAAACCTCAAAAAGAGCTATTTCAACATAAAAGTAGTATGTTTGATTTATTGACAAAGATGGCTTCTGATACACATGTAGGCCTTTTCACCTGAAGGAGCTACCTTTAGTATCCTTTAGTCCATTTCCAAAAGTTCAGAACTTCAACTTGGAGGTCCTTGGTTAAGGACTCATTGAAAACTGTGTGCTCTACACTTAGTGTTAGGCACAGCACATCAAAACGGCAAAAGCTGTTTCATGTTACAGACTTCATCAAGCACTTAGAAGATGCAACGTCCTTCACTCTAAGTCCCAAAACAAAAACACAGCATTCTGGAGAAGGTCCAACATTATTGTCTTATTTTGGTCAACATTTCTAGACCCTGGGGTAACTACCAAAAACAGAAATAGCAAGGATACAACAGACAGAGCCATTCTCACAGCAACCCATATTAACAGGATTGCTCTGCAGACAGAGCCTTCTTCCTCCCACGTCCCTGTAACTGCCTTGTGAAACGACAAGTCAGAAAGAAAAAAACCTGAGGACTGCAATTGAATTTGGCTACCCAAGCTGGCACTACAAGGTAATTTTCAATGATTTAAAGATCACAAAGATTGGCTACTAACTCCAGGAATGAGGACAACAAACAAAACAGAACAATAGGGGAAAAAAAATAAAAACCAGAGCAGGAGAGTTCACATGAAGCAGGCCCAAACTGAAGCAGGGAAAAATACGAGAGGTCCTCGAGAAACTCAGGTGAAATACTATGGAAACACAAAGCACAGACTTAAAATTGCATGCACTTAAAGAAACTTATCTATTATGGTTTTCTACAAACTTTTTGGATGTACTTTCACATGTGCCTCTTACATAACTAAGATTAATGTTGCTACCCTGGACTTACAAAGTCAGAAATAACCTTAAATATAGAACATTTTTTTTCCAAACTACTTCTTAAAGTTGTAAAAAGAAAAGGAAATACTAAAGATGAAATGTTCTGTTTACATTTTTAAACAAAAATCAAATTACTCTACCAATAAGCACCAAAATTCATGCACTTTGTAAACCCAATTTATTATTTTATTCTTTCCTCAACTCCCCAAATTCAAACATTCTTTTATCTAATTAAGTATTCTAGCATAACTACAAGGTGATATGAGGTCTGTTACGTCTAAGTAGTAATTAATAATCAGGGCTCAAGAAAAAAAAAATTCCCCTGTCGGAACACTAGATCAGTCTTAAATATAACTTCAGAGGTCTGATATATATATAGTGCTCCTCTCAAAATTAATAACTTACTCCCAGGCAAGGATACAGTGACTTGGTTTTGACACAGACTCATCTGCTCCTCTTCAAAAAAAGAAAGCAAGAGGCATGGCTATTGACCTCATGGTTGACACCGGTTAGGTCCCCTGCATCCCGTGTGGGAGGGAGGGATGAGATCAACTCCCACCTATGGTCCCTGGCTCCAGCTTCCTACTAATGTGCACCCTGGGAATAAACACTGATGGCTCATGGGAGCAGGGCCCTGACATCCAGGTGGGAGATCTGAGTTCCTGGCTTCCAGCTTCGGGTTGGCATGGCCTTGGTGGTTAGCTGGGCAAGTGACCCAGTAGTTGGGGCTGCTCTCACACTCTCTCTGTCTTTCTGTCACCATCTCTCTGCCTCTCAAATAACTAAATAAAATATTCAAAAAGTTAAAAAAGCTAAGATTTCTATCCTGTTTAACAGTTCACACTCATAAAATTCTAAGACAGTATCTGTAAGCCAGTGTTTCTCAGTAAGCTTGCATATAATTCAAAAAGATCAAACTTTGTACCACATAAATGGTATGATCAGTCTACTAAGTTTTTTTTTCAAATTGTATGTAAAATTATGCAGATGTCAAACACTTGGCCAAGAACACATGAAGATCACAATTTTACAACTAAAATTCACCTTGATTATAAGCAAATGAACCGGAAAGGGCAGATTTGTTGTGACAGAGCAATATCTTTAATAAAATCTTAAGTACATAAAACTAAAATGGTGAATAATAATTGCTACGTGTTGAATGTGACCAACAAAAGTGTTTTTATAAGACAAAAATAGAGGGATCACCTTACTTGTCCCAGTCCCATGAGATAGCTAAGACTAGTACCTTCGATTTACAGGTCAGAAACAAAATAGTTACGTAGTCAGTGGCTCACACAGTTTATCTGGGGCTGAGCTGTGCTTTAATCTAGTCTCTTTGACTCCTAAACCTACAATCTTCTCAGATGATCCACTGAAACAAATTAATACATAATCCATTTCTTGAAAAAAATATTTTAGAAGGATTCTGATCATAAAAACCACAACCCCGCCTTTTTTTCCTTTCTTTGTTCTCATGTCTAAAAAAGCTCTCAGAATCAAGTCTATGAAAGTACAACAAAATCCACATCAGTCATAGTCCTACCTGGCACTGGGCTTGCAGGCCTTAGCTTTCAAAGAATTTTCCTAAGTTTGACTCACTTTATCATTACAACTCTCCTGGGAGGGAAATGTGATTGGTTCCTCACTCTGTAGATGGAATGTCAGTAACACGAGCTGACATTCATCACACGACAAATCAGGCACAGAGCTGGGATCCGAACCCCTATACATCCTGTCCTATTTAAAGCTGCTCGCATCACACCCTAATGTCTTCAGATGCAAACGAATGTCAACCTGAGGCTAAAATGGAAAAGGAAGCTGTAACTCATATACAGGAAATACAGACATATTCTGTGCTTCTATGTGGTCTTTCTTCCTGTTCCACAGGATCACACTATATGAAACAAGAATTCTAAAGCATAATTTTCTTCCATTTCTTTGACTTTCCTCATAAAATGTGCTGAAATGATTCAGTTGAAAACATGGCACATGTACATAGCAAGTGACCCCGTGACAATCCTGAGCCTTGAACACATAAGCAATTTCCATGTATACAATACATAAAACTCATCTCATATTGGGTAAAGATTGAACTTACATATAGCCATTGGTAGAAAAGATGTGCTGAGATATTCAATAATATCCTTGTGCAGAAATGGAGGAAAGGTAGCTAACGTGGATATCATCGTGTAGGGCAAAGTACTTAGGATATCATCATTGAGAAAGGGTAGCAAACATGTCGTTGTATAAAAGATTGACTGTCCAAGATCTACAAAACAAAATTGAGTAATTAGTCACTGGATATTTTGCCATCAACCAAATACACTGATTTTACCCTTAAGCTTTAATGAACTGGTTTAAGTTATAAGCAACTGTTTCACCCCTCCTATTAAGATGTCTGGAGCATACCGCCCAATAGAGAGTGTTACATACACAGTAGTTGGCCAGTGTGACCTGATACATGAATATGATAAGAAGTACAAATACTTATTACATGAGCTTTCCCTCAATATCTTATCAATCTTCAGCAATATCTAGTATTAATAGCACTCCTCAATTTCATAAATTTATACATTCAAAGCAGTTCCTGGGTAAAAATGGACCTTAAACCCCTCTGGCCTTCTTATCTGCATTACGGCTTACACGAGATAACTGAGGTAAGAAGATATTAGATCTTCTGTCCTGCAGAAGCTTTAGTAAAATCAAGAGCAGGACTGGAAATAAAGCCAAGCTCTTTATGAACAAACCACAGTGGTCATCATCTGGAGTCTCAGGCAACCTCCAGGATAGCAGCAGACTCACTGTGCACCCCAGAAAGGAAGCCACAGCTGTCACTATGGGTCCCTACGTATATGATCACCAATGACCATGACTGAGGCTCCAAGCTAACAACTGTCCCCTCATGCTTTTAAACGGGGATAGTAAAAATACCTACCTCGCTTCATTAGAAGGAATATTAGGAATTAAAGCACTTAGTACAGCACATATGTGCTTCACAAATATTAGCTGCTATTATTAACATTAATAGTTACTACTATTACCTGCATAAGGAGTAAAAACAAATGGTATTCAAGACATCTTAACTAGTTAGCTTCAGGATGCATTCAGACTAAATCCCACTACACTAAATGTTCATTTTCACATGTTTGGACCTTCCAAAATACAGACCATTAGTCAATATTTAACAGTCAAGACTTTGAAACTTTTTGTGTGCGATACAACACGAAAGGATTAGGTTCTCGTTGGTTTGTGGCAACTTGCTTTACTGCTGCTGTCTCAATTCCCAACATTCTTTCTGATTGCCATCAGAGGTAATACGCCATCTCAAAAGGCACATCACTGACAATGGAGAGCATATGGCCACTTTGCACTTGGCCACGCTCAGTTTGGCCTTGGGCAGTAAAATGGACAATTCACCCATGTTTTACTGAACGACCTGAGCTATGCGCAGACACTGCCTCAGGTGCTCTGGCTGAGGCTATGGTGTAACCACAACGCAGCAGCACTGTAAGGGGCAGAGGAGACCGAGGAGCATGGAGAGAGGAGCCCTGCCAGCCTTTTTTCATTTAAGGCCACAGAGGTCCAGAGGCCCAAGATCTCCAGAGAGACAGTGGGTGACCAGTGACAATTATGCTGCCTAAAGCTCTTTGAACCATACTCAGAAACAGCACTGTGCTGTGTCTCTAATTCTTCTAAGCTGTAGCATGAAGAACAAGAGCACAATACAGGAAGCAAGGAAGAGAAAAAATGCAACACAGCTGGAGGTGGAAGAGCAAACATAGAGATGATCTCTCCTAAAACTGTCACCATGTACACAGAAATTGCAACTCTTTGGATGGACGTTTACCAAGCTGGATGCCTATTTTAATCATAGGACTCTGAAAGGCAATGAGAGCTGTCCTGACACAGTGGCTCATTCCAGGACCAGGCAGGTCCAGGCCGCATTCAGAACAAGTTGTCACCAAGGTCACCAGCACTGCCCGGGTCACCAGCACATACGGCAAGCTCTGGCAGCCTTGCGTTCAGATGCGTCTCAATGGATTCTGAACTGGGAGAGGACCACAGCAAAGGCAGCCAGGCTTAAGAAGGCTACAAAAGGACATAACAAGCAACGATGCAAAATTCTACACTTCGTATATTCATATAATACAAAATTATATTTAAAGAACCAGTCATCATTACCTCATTTTTATGAAAGCATATTTTAAATGTATTTTTTAATCAGGAAACATCATAGTGAATCAATTATGAGTAAGCATTCTCTTAAGAGACTTAGCTGTAACAAAAGCAAAATCATTACCATCAATCAATTTCCCCAAATTGCTGGTTTGTTTGTTTTTTTACAGTGAGCTTTGGTTCTCATACTTCCAGGTACTAATTCATCAGTACTTTAAAGTCAAGACAACCAATATTTTCAAGTATACTCTCTGAAAAACATGAACTGTTGTACTGCATAATTTTCCTTATGAATCTCCCAAACACATAGCGGATAGTTCAGTAGTCAACATTGTTTCCTTTTCAGTAGGCTAGAAGGATTTGGCAACTAAGAAAGACAAAGAAATTGACCCCAGCACACAGGAGAAAGGCGGAGGAGTTAAGCAGAGCAGCCAGTTCTTAGGTCTGTTCGTCAGCACGCACTTACGCTGCATGCTGCACACAGCTCCACTTTATACCGTACCAACACCCTGACACAGCATTTTCCAGTAACTACTGCAAGTTAAATGTGGAAGAGGTCTCAAGCATCTCTTCTCATTTACGTTCTTAACTGGAAACAGGAAAAGCCAGCCCCAGAGGGTTTCTGTGATTTGTCCCCCAAACATCACAATTTCTCAACTCTGTTTCTTACAATTTCTGGGGTACAATTTCTCAACATCTTGTCTCCTTCTCTCCTTCCCCCAACATAATTTCAAACAAGAGTCCCCATTGTTAAGCTGCTCGGGGGTCAGGGGTGGGGGAAGAGAGCTTCATTTTCTGTTCTTCCTCCTTTCTCCGATCCATTGTCCCTCCCTACACAGGCCCCATAGAATCACAACCACGTGACAACAAAACAGTGCAAAGTGATCGGATGCGGGAACATCATAATCAAGTTTCAGCGCAAGAAAGGCTTTAACCACACAGGCTCCTTCAAGCAATTCGTTACACTAACAAGTTTCCGAGCCCTGGCTCAACATTGTACGTTTTCACAAGCATACATGTACATCTGTGAAGGAATCAAGGAAATGTGCTCACCGTGTTGGCCATGCTGTAGTAAAGGAACTAGATCCAGGAGAGTCACCAAAGTCACGTAGAGGCCTTGGTAGTCCAGAGAAGGGTAGTCTGACAACTGAGCATCACGACTTTGCGGGCCGCGCTCTGAGGAAGCATCTCGCAGGACGCTGTAAAGGAGGGAGCGAGTAACAGTAGGGTTGATGGAACTGACCTGCGGTCTTAGAGATGGGGTGAGTGGGAATGGCACAGGAAAAAGACACATGGTCATGGGCACTGTCAAATTGGAGGCATCTTGGTTTTCCTTCTTCCCTGTGCGGGACAAAATGCTGTTGGGGGGACAAAGAAAAAAAAGAGACAACAAAGACACAAAGAACAGCACATTACATTGAAATGACACTCTAAAACAAATAATAAAACACCAGATACAACCCACATAAGATGCAATCGCCACAGCAGCAAGGGTCTACAGATCTCATAGTGGTTACGTCGCTTTGGGCTTAGAGACACCAATAACGCAAGGTTTGCATTGTGGAAGTTTCATTGCATCTCATGTGTTATCTGGTTAGTAAGGAGCAAAAATATAAAAATGCATGTTTCAGTGCCAAACCCATGTTTTACAGTTTATGGACTTAATGAAGGAGAAGCTGCCTGGAAGGAAGACAGCAGCTTGTCTCATGAGTATGGGCTCTTAGTCTGGATGGCAAGGAGCATTCAAAAGAAGAGTTTTCAGCAAGACTGTCTTAATCAGGTGGACAGAAACTTGCAAAATATAGGTATGGCACTTGCAGAAACATGTTTTAGCAAAGAATAAACATGTGTGTTTATTAAGAAAGTCTTAAAAATCACATGTTTATTGCATCAAAATAATGTCTATATGTATATTATGATACTGTTTCATGACATTCTGTCAGTATCATTTGAGATAATGAAGTTTAAACAGGCATATGAATTTAGAAATAATACATATTTCTAAAATGTTAGCTAAACTACATTAGAAAAGCTATAAAAGAATATATAGTAGATGGTCCATAGCATATGTTTGCAAACTAATGATAATGGTTATTCATGTGTGTTATTATTTTTTTAATTTTGCATGTTGGAGAGGAAACATTTTATTTTATAGTACAAACAGAGGTTTATTACATGGTTACCTTCAAGACTCTAAAGCCTATGCAAGCTGCGCATCAGACAGGGGTGTCTCACATACTATTGCTGTTACTTACGTTATTATTCAACAAATTCACTAAATACTAAAGGAAAGACCACTTTAGAAGTTGAAAAAAAAGTTTAATGGGAATAAAAATAACTTCTAAAAATAAAATGGTTTTCTTTTAGCTTACTTTTAAAGTAAGAACCTTTTAGTAAGAGCAATGAAGCATAAAAGGTGTTAATTTAAAAATAAAAGCAACTACTGCTTAGCCAAATGTTTAGTATTTTTTAATTATGTTATACTAGTTATCATTCAAGATCACAGCTACACATTATAATGATAATACTTTGCACTTACAAAGTGCTGTTATATAGTATGCCTATATGTTAGTCAAGATAGACAACAATTTTATAAATGTTGCATTACATAAAAATAACTTTAACACTTAGTCTATGTGCATCAAAGATAACTAACCTCTTAGTTAATGATTTCCATCTATAGTTTTACAGTGAAGTGATAAACTGGTTAGTGCCAAGCATGCTGCTAGGTCAAGTTTCCATTTATTTTCATTTACTCTTAGTGCAAAATATGTTACAATGTAAGGAAAATGACTACATGCTTTTTACTTCCTATGTGCCTAATTTACCTCCATTTCCTTTGTCTTCTGTTACCCAATGTCCAAGGAAAAACAATTGATAATAAAAATAATTTCAGAATAGTTACAGAATACCTCTTAACAAAAAATAAGATTTGGAATTTTTTTTTTTACTTTTAAAAAACTGAATTTACCTCTGTGTGTGTGTGTGTTTGTTATGATTCAACTTTGTAAGCTTACACTTTATAATGTGATAATACCAACATACCAGTTGCCCCTGCCTGCTTATCTCTGTTATAAATGCCATCAAATTTTCCATCAGACTTAATACACTTCTCATATACTTCACCTACTTTTAATGTATCGTTAATAAGCCCAGTCACCATAAAATCTGTTTTAATCCTAAGGGATTCTATCACACTGAAGATTGCTTTTGAATTATAATGGATAAAAGTGAGACATACTATTTCCCAAACTCAGCCCTGCATTCACCTACTGCCAGCATCTTTTCAAAATTACAAGATGTGGATCCTACCAAAACAGTTTAGGAAGAACCATATTTTGTCTTAGCAAATAAAAACTGCTCCATCTCATAAAGGAACGCTAGCCTTTAAGTGAACCTAGATGCTCTGCTCAGAATTCTCCTTGATGTGGGAAACACTACACAGTATTCTTTCAAAGACACCTTAGTGTTTGTCCAAGTTTGCTGTAACTTAACAAACACTAATCAAATAAACTTTTGAGGCTCTGCTTTGACACTTTGTCTTCCTAGGGGGGTCCTAACTGACAGCAACAACAGCTCCATGGAGTGCAGGGAGGGCACTGTGGCTGCACCGAAACAGCACAACTCCTCTCTCTCTTTCTAACACTGGATTTAAGAAGTAGGTGAGGTTGAGGAAAGAAAAATGGCTGAAAATGAGTAATCCATGAAACCAGTTTTAAATCACCATTCATGTCTCAATGTAATAAAATGTTTTCACTTGTGAAAAAAACTCAAGAAGGGCTAATGAATAAATGTACAATGCATTGTGATTTTATGATGTTTTGTGAAATTTAATCAGGAAAAAAAAACCTTATTTCCCCAGCCAAACTGTCTAACTGTGGGAATGATACACCGTCTGAACTTCTATACTGGAGGTCTTTAGACCCAACCAGAAAAGCATTACAGGAATGCCCTGCTCAGAAGAGTCCGACTCAACCGCCAAATTTCCACCTTTCCTATTCCCTCGGGAGAGCTCCCTTATGGAGTGTGGCCTTCCAGCAATAAGGTAGGGCAGGAAGAAGAACTCTGTGGGTGTGGGAAGCATGACAAGTTGTCCTGGGATATTTACAGCACAGAAAATTAATGTGTCAGATAAACTTTTTGATGATTATTAATTTTGACATTTGACTTGAATCTGCGTGAAAAAATTCACTTAACAATGCTATGATTTGAGGTTACTCAATGGACTTCAGGTGAAACCGAAGGAGATGTATTGTGTGCCTGTGGTCTTCTTAATCAGTTACAAATTACTATCCCACTAAGCTCATTTGAAATCTTTATCACTAAAGAGCAGCAAGCAACATTCCCCAAATGTATTGCTCTTCTAAAAAGTAGCTGATAATGCTAGCTGCTCGAATAGTACCAGGAGAGAGATGCGAAGAAAAGAATTCAGAAGAATGTTTTGACATAGAAAGATTGGGATCGTGTAAATGTTCTGCCACAGAAAACGGAAGATCCTGCACAGAGAAAAGTTTTAAAAAGCAACTATATTTCAAAGTTTTATGTAAACTGTGTATCCAAGCTTAAATGCCTACTAAATTAAAATTAGTATAACTCAGCCCTTAGATGGAATAACCAAGGACTCTGAGTCATTGCTAGATCCCATAGATCTCCAATGGATGAAAAACTTAAGCAAAAGTCAATTAAATTGAACATCTACTTAGTCCTTTGCAAAGGTCCAAGATGGTACCAAGTTCAAGGGCCAGCAAGCCAAATACCACACGGACAAGAAAGACAGAAAAAGCAAAGTTTTCAGCCTGAAGGTTGAAAGTTTAAATAGGAATGTCTGCCCCATGGCACGTTACACTTCTCAGTGTTTTCTTTCTTACCCCCATTTCATGTGTGTTCTATTCACTGCAATCTGTCAACACTGACCCACTAGGCACAGCTGATTGTTGAGTGGAGATGGAGCTAAGACACTCAGAACATGAAACGCTGTCAGCAGCTTGATTTAACTCCCAAACACGTGGCAAACCTTGGCATTGAGAATGCTCTTAATTCCAAGGATAGCCAAAACTACTCTAATGATTCAAATGGATATTGAAATTCTCAAAGGCGAAACTATGGCTTCACTGAAAGACACACCTTATGACGGACGGGGACAGTAAGAAGAAGCAGGAGACCACAATTGCTGAGAGCATCAGATGCAGATCAGGACCAGCTGGATCAAATCCTGGTTCTTACACATATTCCAGGAATATATGTAATACAAATAAGCTGCCTTTGAGCAGCTTACTTAACCACTCTGTGACTTACTTCCATTATCTATCAAATGGGTACTACAAAACACTGGTCTTTGAGAGTTTAAATGAGATGGCTTGTTTAAAGTGCCTGGAACAGTGCTTGGCACATCCAATTACTACTAGCGTATACACTTTTGCTATAATAACAATGTCTAATTCTACTGTGACCAGAAGTAGTCACTGTCAGTGTTGCCTGCCTTTGAAAATAGACCCAGCTCAAGTGCAGATTCTTCTTCAATAGACCTCTTGAATCAACTACCTTAATGCCAGCATCCTACTGTCATCCTAATCATCTCCTAATTGATCTATTGCTCAACGAAATGGAATGCTTATGTCTTGCCATCATGACTTCAGGGTCCTAAATGCCTTACCTTTTGCTATAATTATTACTAAGAGCTCAATTCCAACGAGGCTGTCACAATTTAGAATCTGCAAATAGATTCCTAATGGTTCCTTGCTTGGAAATCACTCAGAATTGCTGATAAGAAAAGCACTTCCCTTAGAGAAACCTGACTTCAACGACAAGAGAGGAACTCAAGAGAAGAGAATGGGATGGTTTGGCTTACAAATGTATCTGATTGCTATCATGAAAATTGGGCTAATTATTCCACTGCAGTTTGAAAAGAAAGAAAATGTTCTGTAACAAGGCCTGAGCAAGAATGGAATCTAGGAATCTGACTAACAGACTCCCTTTAGTGCAGAACAAGGGTCCTAAGGATTCTGAAGAAGCAAAGCTATTCTGAACATCAAGGACAGAGCGAGCAGGCAAGATGGGAGACAAACAGAGCAGTCAACTCGATCGCCTGACGCTTCCCTCGACAAAGCATTTGGTCTGCCGACGGTAACATCACATCTGCTGGCAACTCCAGTACCTCCGAATCTGTGCTCTTCTTCTAATACCCATCTGGCAAAACTTCGCTGCTAAGAGAGCTAAGGAAAGAACCGGAGCAAGTCAATTTATGGGCTTCCAGATAGAGCTGAAAAGAGAAGATCATGGGAACGGAGGAAATCAGGCTGGGAATTTCGTAGAGAGTGAAGGGTCCTTCTAAGTCCTTCAAGGTGATGATCTCGCAAAGCAAACCAGGCCTTTACTTGAAAGGCTTATCTTGGCTCGCTTCTCCTAATGAGAAGTAGGAAGCAGATGGGGCCTTTCTGGCTCCCCTTCCAGAGGAAGAAAAGAATAATATCAAGAGATGCTGTGTTTTTGTTTCCTTTGTCTTCTGCAGAATTTCAACATCAACTGTAAGGCATCTTGAACTCCTGATATGTGATGCAGATTAAAAACAATGGCGACTATTTTAAATCACACTTGGGGAAATTGGAAATACCAGTGACGAGCTTCAAGGCCATCTAATTCTGATTTTATTTTAGACCCCAAGTGTTTCATAGTCGTGATTTTAAGCAACAGAGGTTCTTCTTTGAATCCTATGCTGTTTTAGTGCCCAGCACAGAACTTTCATCATTTTACAGATCTCCTGATTGAAAAGAAGTTGGGCGGGGAAAAGCAGCCACTGGCCGTGCGACTCAGTTTTTCCCATGTGGACTGGGGTCTGATCTGCTCTCTACAGTCAGGGAACCTGTCACACTCTTCTGGCAGAGCACTTGAAAATGTAAAGCCCTTCAAATATTCAATAAAAATTTAGGTCCCAATAAATCCAGCAGTACTACCTACTAATTCTCTCAAAGCAAAGGATAGTTTAAAGCTTACCTTAACAAGGTTTGAGAAAAGTATTTCAGCGTGTTTGCAATATCTGTTCCTGACGGGACAGGGTAAATGTTGTGAAGAACTCGGTTATGGTATTCTTGTAGGTACCGAATCTTGGAAGCAACTAGATAAAAGCAAACAAAAAAAAAAAAAAAAAAAAGGAGAAGAAGGAAAAAGAAGAGTCATTTTGTAATACGTATTAAGTATCCCATCATCTCTTCCTTTCATGATTACATATAGGAATTTAAACAGCATTTAAAAGAATATATGCAAACCGCCACTGAGAGGTCACCATAAGAACAATGACAAGGAATCTTACAGTTCTTACAATTAATTATATTCAACACACAAAAGTATTTTTAGTTACCTGGTTTAATATTCTGTTCACAAAATTATCCATTATATTTTTTATCACTAAGAAAAGCAGCAATCTGAATTCTTTTCTAATCATTCCTAAGTTAGTTTTATTAACAAAATAATAGTAGATAGAGATCTCTGCCACCAGAGAATTCTATTCAATGTTGCTTGGCTGAAATTGAAAGGAAAAACTCTAAGGTCTTTGGACAATAACACTCGGGGAACAAAAAGTTTAAAAATTAGGAGAGCTCCCTGCACAACGGCATCCATTGAGATCGTATTTTTAACATGTGATTTGGACATGTGTTTGGTTACGGCTGGAACAATGAGAATATGTGCAGAGTGGATTAACTGGGTGAGTATAAAGTAAGACTGCAACAATTGTTTAATAATAAAAATACATAAATGTCACATTTTTTCCCCCAAAGACTTTTGTAAATTGGGAGACTAGCAGCTTTCTGAGCTTTCCTGCCCAGACAGTCTCAGGATTCAGGAGGGGCTATGCAGGCTCATTTACCCTCCTAGACCTACCTGGAGTTCCAGCATTGTCCACACTCCTGACCTGACCTTTGACCTGGCTGTAGTGAATGGCCCAGTTCTAGTCATTCCTCTTTGCAAATCCCAAGGAGCCATGATGATCAACGGCTTTCTGGTCTCCTCTTCACTGTCCATTTCTCCTTTCAATCTTTAAGGCTACCAAGGGAGCCTTGTGGGTGGAATAGCTCACTGTCAGCAGTTAACAGAAGACATATCAAGCCCCAGAGAAGCAAAACTTTGTTCCCAATCGCACATGGAAATAAGCTCTTGGATGCATTCTAATCGAAATGCTAGCATAAACAACTTAAAGAAAGCCAAAATGTTTTCTGAGAAGTGTGGATATAGAATCATAAAACAGCAAAATGTCAGAACTGGAAGGACGTTCCAGGTGGTTTCCCACAACCACTTCATTTCACAGACGGTGGGGGGTGGGCAATGAGGCGCCCAGAGGATCAGCAGCTAGGCCACACTAGCATTTAGACTCCTGACTCCCAATCCAGGACTCTTCCACTATGACAAACTCTAGGCATGACTCTGAAATGAAGTCAACATACAAATAACAAATGTTCATTACATGACATCAAAGCAAACCTCTATATCCTACATATACAAATATACATTTACCAGCTTTGCCTTTTCTTCCACCTCTGCTATTTCCACAATAGTTAGCACTGTTTCCAACGAAGTACGTTTAGATGCAGAAAGTAAAACCTTGAATTTATACAGCAAATTAACACCATAGAAAGCAAAAAGTTCATACCCATTGTCTCAATTAACCTTTTTAGTGTGGGAACAAACTTTTCTAGAGATAAAATACAAGAGGGAGATACTTGAAGCTCTATCAATTACATCATCAATAAAAATCCATTTCTCCACGTTTTGAATCTGCCACTTGTCGTCTTTGTAAAATCACACAGGGAGCCTCACACTGATACATAAGTCCAGGTTCAAAACCTCTGAGGCCTCGGCAAGGCCGGCGCGTGTGTTCTGTCCCCCTCTATCACAGGAATGCTTTGCTACTGTGACCTTCCTCACATTTCAGTATTCAGCAGGCTCCTGCAGAGTATTTCAGGAATACCATTAATCATTCCACCACCTAAAAAAATGAGTTGATGATAGTGCAGGGTGTGGACAATAAGCTCAAATAAAGAGCTTAAAAAAAACCCACCACTTTGGCTTGCTGATAATTTAGCAGCTACAAAGCCGTCACTATGTAACGACTGCAAGCATCCACAAACGTTTGTGAAATGGACGGATGTGTTTTTTCTAGCCTCTTTCTTTAAAATGCAGCAACAGCTCCTCTCAATGGGTATCCCAACGTGCAAGAGAAAGCAGAGACTAAAATCATTTTCTTCTTTGAAATCAGTCAATATTTTACAAAAGTCACATTGCGTTGTCTTTGTTTACTTACCTGATTTTTTTCTATACCAAGTTGTACATTTCTTGAAGGCAGAAAATTATGTCTTACTCATGTTTCTATTCCAAGCCTAATTCACTTTCTGGCACTTAAGTACTAGACATTTCAACAGGGCTAAATGAACAAATGAATTAATACTTTAATAATAACACTTGTCACTTGATTATACATCGGTATACACACATATATATGTACAATAGATTGTGGAATCTATTGATCCCTAATGCCAGACACTTAGCAGGCACTCAATATATTGTGGATGACTGAAAATGAAACAAAAGGAGAAAAGATGGGGGAAAAGAGAGAAAGAGGAAGAAAGTGGTGAACAATCATGAAGACAAGTTATAAAATCAGTTTGGGAAAAATGTTTAAACTTCATTTGTGCATCCATGAATATACCAAGTCTTAGCAGCCATGGTATTAACTTTTACATTTCAACTATGTGGAGAAAACCAAAAAAGGTTTGCAACCATGCTGAAATCATGAATAAAACTATTTTTATTTCAACCATGCACAAGTAAGAGGGCCATTCGGATGGTTAAGCAGTCCGCAGAAGAACCCAGCAGCCTCATCATTTCACACAGGTCTTGAGTTCTACTGCATACAAGTCCCTGTCTATGGCCACAGGGACTCAGATAAACTGGTCAGGATGGACACGAAAAAATGACCAGAGAAAGATCCAACCTGAGAGGTCCCGTGGGCCACATTTCTCTAGGCAGCTCTTTCTTGCACTCTTCAATTCTGTTGCTGCCCTTCAACATTTCCCCCATGCCCACCACACCTTTGCTTAGACTTTACGAAGCCATCTAAAGTCATCTATTCAAAATATGGAAATATGACTGTATTTGGAGAGAACTCTTTTTGAAAAGGGACTGCGTTAAAAGGAGGCAATTTCAGTGGTGTGCCCTTAATCCAATCTGACTGGCGTCCTTATGAGGAGAGATGAGGACACACAGGAGACACCCGCACAGCAGGAGAGTGGAGTGAAGGCTGTGTGAGGACACACGAGCCGGCGGCCATCTGCAAGCCAGGGAGAGAGGTGTCAGGTGCAGCCAGACCTGCCAACACCTCGCTCTTACACTCAGAGCCTTCAGAACTCAGGAAATCAGAAGCAGCACAGTCTCCAGCACTTGGATGGCAGCCTGAGCAAACCAAACCTCACAGAGGAAATCTTGCAAATCAGAGTGGGGCATAAGCTCCAATCAGACAGTGAAGCCTTCTCCAGCGAACGCCGATTTCCTCATCTGTAAAGTGGGGGTAATTGTGAGAGGGGCTTCACAAGGTTCTGGGAAATTGGAATTAAGAGATCTTAGGTTTATTTTGGTGCAAAAAAAAAGTTGTTTTTTTTTTTTCAAACTCACACACAGTTGTTTTACAATATACATTTCCCATGGACTTTTGAAGACACCCTCATAGATCACCTTCATAGGGTTATTGTGAGTAATAAATATTTATTGTACAAACCACTTATCATGTCACCTAGTACAAGGGTACTTCAAAAAGCCTAGAGGGGATGAGGGTATTGGCTCAACTAGCTAATCCTCCATCTCCAAGCACCACATCCCATATGGGTGCTGGTTCGTATCCTGACTGCACCACTTCTTGTCCAGCTTCCTGCTTGTGTCTTGGGAAAGCAGTAGAGGATGGCCCAAAGCCTTGGGACCCTGCACCCATGTAGGAGACACAGAGGAAGGTCCTGGCTCTGAATCAGCTCAGCTCCGGCCATTGTGACCACTTGGGGAGTGAATCAGAAGACTGAAGATCTTTCTCTCTGTCTCTCCTTCCCCCTGTAAAATCTGCCTTTCCAATAAAAATAAATTTTAAAAACTTTCTTAAAAAGATACATGTATTCTAGCATAAAAACACCTTTTGAAATTTATGCAACTGTTTTCATGCTATGCATTCTCCAAGAGCTCCTGGGCTTCTCTGCTGGAATGCATTCCTCTCTAGGTGCCTTGCCTCCGCTCTCCATCACTTCATGTTTAAATGTTGAAATTCATCAGGGCTCAGCCTTAGGCCCCCTGTTCTTCTCACTCAATATCTTCTCTGAGGGCACCCCCATCCATGTTCAGGGCTACCAATACTCTTTATGGCCAACTCGTTTTAACTGCCTATCTCCATCCCCCAGCCATTTTCAGGGCTACCAGTATTATCTACAGGTAAACTCGACTGTGTATCTCCACCCATAATGGCTATCTCCTTTGAATAACAGGTTTCATCTACCCAGCATCACCAGTCAGCAATCATATAGATATCTCAAAGTACACAGATCCCACAGTAAACCCTTATCTCCCTCCTATCCCCAAAAGATACCTACTCCATCACCTGAGTGATCAACAAGTCATTCAGGCAGACTGCTTTGAAAGCCAGCCCTGATGGCCCCATTCCCACCTCCTCATTCCCCTAATCCAACCCACTGCTGAGCCCTGTCACTGACTCCTCTCAATGTTAACACCCAACACATCTCCAAACTGTCTGCTACTGTGCATTTTCACAGCCAGCATTCCAGCTCATCACCTCCTGGCCAGCTCTAACAGCCTCCTAGTTCATCTTCCAGATTCTGTTTTGTTTATCTCCAGCTCCCTTAACATTACAGACAGCTTCATGTAATCCCCACTTAAAATCCTTCCATGTTGACCCGTTGCCTCAGAATCAAATCCAGAATCCTGGTCAGAGCACACAGGGTCCCTGTCCATTAGCCAAAAGAACAACAGACATCCTGGCCCTCACCCAACTTGTCTGCATTCACGAAGCCATCTTCTGCAGGAAACCTTTAGGTATGCTTGTCCTTCCTGGAGGGTTATCCCTCTGTG